TAGGGTTAGGGTTAGGGTTAGGGTTAGGGTTAGGGTTAGGGTTAGGGTTAGGGTTAGGGTTCGGGTTAGGTTAGGGTTAGGGTTAGGGTTAGGGTTAGGGTTAGGGTTAGGGTTAGGGTTAGGGTTAGGGTTAGGGTTAGGGTTAGGGTTAGGGTTAGGGTTAGGGTTAGGGTTAGGGTTAGGGTTAGGGTAGGGTTAGGGTTAGGGTTAGGGTTAGGGTTAGGGTTAGGGTTAGGGTTAGGGTTAGGGTTAGGGTTAGGGTTAGGGTTAGGGTTAGGGTTAGGGTTAGGGTTAGGGTTAGGGTTAGGGTTAGGGTTAGGGTTAGGGTTAGGGTTAGGGTTAGGGTTAGGGTTAGGGTTAGGGTTAGGGTTAGGGTTAGGGTTAGGGTTAGGTTAGGGTTAGGGTTAGGGTTAGGGTTAGGGTTAGGGTTAGGGTTAGGGTTAGGGTTAGGGTTAGGGTTAGGGTTAGGGTTAGGGTTAGGGTTAGGGTTAGGGTTAGGGTTAGGGTTAGGGTTAGGGTTAGGTTAGGGTTAGGGTGTTAGGGTTAGGGTTAGGGTTAGGGTTAGGGTTAGGGTTAGGGTTAGGGTTAGGGTTAGGGTTAGGGTTAGGGTTAGGGTTAGGGTTAGGGTTAGGGTTAGGGTTAGGGTTAGGGTTAGGGTTAGGGTTAGGGTTAGGGTTAGGGTTAGGGTTAGGGTTAGGGTTAGGGTTAGGGTTAGGGTTAGGGTTAGGGTTAGGGTTAGGGTTAGGGTTAGGGTTAGGGTTAGGGTTAGGGTTAGGGTTAGGGTTAGGGTTAGGGTTAGGGTTAGGGTTAGGGTTAGGGTTAGGGTTAGGGTTAGGGTTAGGGTTAGGGTTAGGGTTAGGGTTAGGTTAGGGTTAGGGTTAGGGTTAGGGTTAGGGTTAGGGTTAGGGTTAGGGTTAGGGTTAGGGTTAGGGTTAGGGTTGGGGTTGGGTTAGGGTTAGGGTTAGGGTTAGGGTTAGGGTTAGGGTTAGGGTTAGGGTTAGGGTTAGGGTTAGGGTTAGGGTTAGGGTTAGGGTTAGGGTTAGGGTTAGGGTTAGGGTTAGGGTTAGGGTTAGGGTTAGGGTTAGGGTTAGGGTTAGGGTTAGGGTTAGGGTTAGGGTTAGGGTTAGGGTTAGGGTTAGGGTTAGGGTTAGGGTTAGGGTTAGGGTTAGGGTTAGGGTTAGGGTTAGGGTTAGGGTTAGGGTTAGGGTTAGGGTTAGGGTTAGGGTTAGGGTTAGGGTTAGGGTTAGGGTTAGGGTTAGGGTTAGGGTTAGGGTTAGGGTTAGGGTTAGGGTTTAGGGTTAGGGTTAGGGTTAGGGTTAGGGTTAGGGTTAGGGTTAGGGTTAGGGTTAGGGTTAGGGTTAGGGTTAGGGTTAGGGTTAGGGTTAGGGTTAGGGTTAGGGTTAGGGTTAGGGTTAGGGTTAGGGTTAGGTTAGGGTTAGGGTTAGGGTTAGGGTTAGGGTTAGGGTTAGGGTTAGGGTTAGGGTTAGGGTTAGGGTTAGGGTTAGGGTTAGGGTTAGGGTTAGGGTTAGGGTAAGGGTTAGGGTTAGGGTTAGGGTTAGGGTAGGGTTAGGGTTAGGGTTAGGGTTAGGGTTAGGGTTAGGGTTAGGGTTAGGGTTAGGGTTAGGGTTAGGGTTAGGGTTAGGGTTAGGGGTTAGGGTTAGGGTTAGGGTTAGGGTTAGGGTTAGGGTTAGGGTTAGGGTTAGGGTTAGGGTTAGGGTTAGGGTTAGGGTTAGGGTTAGGGTTAGGGTTAGGGTTAGGGTTAGGGTTAGGGTTAGGGTTAGGGTTAGGGTTAGGGTTAGGGTTAGGGTTAGGGTTAGGGTTAGGGTTAGGGTTAGGGTTAGGGTTAGGGTTAGGGTTAGGGTTAGGGTTAGGGTTAGGGTTAGGGTTAGGGTTAGGGTTAGGGTTAGGGTAGGGTTAGGGTTAGGGTTAGGGTTAGGGTTAGGGTTAGGGTTAGGGTTAGGGTTAGGGTTAGGGTTAGGGTTAGGGTTAGGGTTAGGGTTAGGGTTAGGGTTAGGGTTAGGGTTAGGGTTAGGGTTAGGGTTAGGGTTAGGGTTAGGGTTAGGGTTAGGGTTAGGGTTAGGGTTAGGGTTAGGGTTAGGGTTAGGGTTAGGGTTAGGGTTAGGGTTAGGGTTAGGGTTAGGGTTAGGGTTAGGGTTAGGGTTAGGGTTAGGGTTAGGGTTAGGGTTAGGGTTAGGGTTAGGGTTAGGGTTAGGGTTAGGGTTAGGGTTAGGGTTAGGGTTAGGGTTAGGGTTAGGGTTAGGGTTAGGGTTAGGGTTAGGGTTAGGGTTAGGGTTAGGGTTAGGGTTAGGGTTAGGGTTAGGGTTAGGGTTAGGGTTAGGGTTAGGGTTAGGGTTAGGGTTAGGGTTAGGGTTAGGGTTAGGGTTAGGGTTAGGGTTAGGGTTAGGGTTAGGGTTAGGGTTAGGGTTAGGGTTAGGGTTAGGGTAGGGTTAGGGTTAGGGTTAGGGTTAGGGTTAGGGTTAGGGTTAGGGTTAGGGTTAGGGTTAGGGTTAGGGTTAGGGTTAGGGTTAGGGTTAGGGTTAGGGTTAGGGTTAGGGTTAGGGTTAGGGTTAGGGTTAGGGTTAGGGTTAGGGTTAGGGTTAGGGTTAGGGTTAGGGTTAGGGTTAGGGTTAGGGTTAGGGTTAGGGTTAGGGTTAGGGTTAGGGTTAGGGTTAGGGTTAGGGTTAGGGTTAGGGTTAGGGTTAGGGTTAGGGTTAGGGTTAGGGTTAGGGTTAGGGTTAGGGTTAGGGTTAGGGTTAGGGTTAGGGTTAGGGTTAGGGTTAGGGTTAGGGTTAGGGTTAGGGTTAGGGTTAGGGTTAGGGTTAGGGTTAGGGTTAGGGTTAGGGTTAGGGTTAGGGTTAGGGTTAGGGTTAGGGTTAGGGTTAGGGTTAGGGTTAGGGTTAGGGTTAGGGTTAGGGTTAGGGTTAGGGTTAGGGTTAGGGTTAGGGTTAGGGTTAGGGTTAGGGTTAGGGTTAGGGTTAGGGTTAGGGTTAGGGTTAGGGTTAGGGTTAGGGTTAGGGTTAGGGTTAGGGTTAGGGTTAGGGTTAGGGTTAGGGTTAGGGTTAGGGTTAGGGTTAGGGTTAGGGTTAGGGTTAGGGTTAGGGTTAGGGTTAGGGTTAGGGTTAGGGTTAGGGTTAGGGTTAGGGTTAGGGTTAGGGTTAGGGTTAGGGTTAGGGTTAGGGTTAGGGTTAGGGTTAGGGTTAGGGTTAGGGTTAGGGTTAGGGTTAGGGTTAGGGTTAGGGTTAGGGTTAGGGTTAGGGTTAGGGTTAGGGTTAGGGTTAGGGTTAGGGTTAGGGTTAGGGTTAGGGTTAGGGTTAGGGTTAGGGTTAGGGTTAGGGTTAGGGTTAGGGTTAGGGTTAGGGTTAGGGTTAGGGTTAGGGTTAGGGTTAGGGTTAGGGTTAGGGTTAGGGTTAGGGTTAGGGTTAGGGTTAGGGTTAGGGTTAGGGTTAGGGTTAGGGTTAGGGTTAGGGTTAGGGTTAGGGTTAGGGTTAGGGTTAGGGTTAGGGTTAGGGTTAGGGTTAGGGTTAGGGTTAGGGTTAGGGTTAGGGTTAGGGTTAGGGTTAGGGTTAGGGTTAGGGTTAGGGTTAGGGTTAGGGTTAGGGTTAGGGTTAGGGTTAGGGTTAGGGTTAGGGTTAGGGTTAGGGTTAGGGTTAGGGTTAGGGTTAGGGTTAGGGTTAGGGTTAGGGTTAGGGTTAGGGTTAGGGTTAGGGTTAGGGTTAGGGTTAGGGTTAGGGTTAGGGTTAGGGTTAGGGTTAGGGTTAGGGTTAGGGTTAGGGTTAGGGTTAGGGTTAGGGTTAGGGTTAGGGTTAGGGTTAGGGTTAGGGTTAGGGTTAGGGTTAGGGTTAGGGTTAGGGTTAGGGTTAGGGTTAGGGTTAGGGTTAGGGTTAGGGTTAGGGTTAGGGTTAGGGTTAGGGTTAGGGTTAGGGTTAGGGTTAGGGTTAGGGTTAGGGTTAGGGTTAGGGTTAGGGTTAGGGTTAGGGTTAGGGTTAGGGTTAGGGTTAGGGTTAGGGTTAGGGTTAGGGTTAGGGTTAGGGTTAGGGTTAGGGTTAGGGTTAGGGTTAGGGTTAGGGTTAGGGTTAGGGTTAGGGTTAGGGTTAGGGTTAGGGTTAGGGTTAGGGTTAGGGTTAGGGTTAGGGTTAGGGTTAGGGTTAGGGTTAGGGTTAGGGTTAGGGTTAGGGTTAGGGTTAGGGTTAGGGTTAGGGTTAGGGTTAGGGTTAGGGTTAGGGTTAGGGTTAGGGTTAGGGTTAGGGTTAGGGTTAGGGTTAGGGTTAGGGTTAGGGTTAGGGTTAGGGTTAGGGTTAGGGTTAGGGTTAGGGTTAGGGTTAGGGTTAGGGTTAGGGTTAGGGTTAGGGTTAGGGTTAGGGTTAGGGTTAGGGTTAGGGTTAGGGTTAGGGTTAGGGTTAGGGTTAGGGTTAGGGTTAGGGTTAGGGTTAGGGTTAGGGTTAGGGTTAGGGTTAGGGTTAGGGTTAGGGTTAGGGTTAGGGTTAGGGTTAGGGTTAGGGTTAGGGTTAGGGTTAGGGTTAGGGTTAGGGTTAGGGTTAGGGTTAGGGTTAGGGTTAGGGTTAGGGTTAGGGTTAGGGTTAGGGTTAGGGTTAGGGTTAGGGTTAGGGTTAGGGTTAGGGTTAGGGTTAGGGTTAGGGTTAGGGTTAGGGTTAGGGTTAGGGTTAGGGTTAGGGTTAGGGTTAGGGTTAGGGTTAGGGTTAGGGTTAGGGTTAGGGTTAGGGTTAGGGTTAGGGTTAGGGTTAGGGTTAGGGTTAGGGTTAGGGTTAGGGTTAGGGTTAGGGTTAGGGTTAGGGTTAGGGTTAGGGTTAGGGTTAGGGTTAGGGTTAGGGTTAGGGTTAGGGTTAGGGTTAGGGTTAGGGTTAGGGTTAGGGTTAGGGTTAGGGTTAGGGTTAGGGTTAGGGTTAGGGTTAGGGTTAGGGTTAGGGTTAGGGTTAGGGTTAGGGTTAGGGTTAGGGTTAGGGTTAGGGTTAGGGTTAGGGTTAGGGTTAGGGTTAGGGTTAGGAATTATTAAGAATGCTAGGCCAACAACAATCACCGTTCACAGTGTCTGCTGACGCTATGTCATCCATGAAGTGAGAACTGCAATGACAGTGCCGGCTTCGCCACCCGGTGCCGTGAATCATTATTTCAGACGCTCAGATCTCCTCCCCGTCAATCAGTAGTTGGGGGCATCAATGTTTGGCCCTTAGTCCCAGGGTGCGGGGTGTTCGGCAGTTATGCACCCCTGCATTCCCTCAGGCATTCTCCTAGCTGGTCTATGGGCACCCATCCCACTCTTATGGGAGGCACGGGTCAGGTCACAGTGCACAGCAAATTGCTAATTTGTTTAAAATATATTCAAATATATATTTTCTTTTACCTGGAGTCGTTTGGGGAACACTGCTCGTGGCAGGCTCTCAGTATCAGTCCTAATGACCAATACATCCAGACTCAAAAGCGGTTATAGTTTGGGGTTAATTTGTGGGCACTGCTGGGTGAGATTTATGTCTGACCCCCGCCTCTATCGGCTAGATGTACTGCATGTGCATACCTCAATGAGGGATAGAATGTGGCGATCTTTTATTTTTTTTTTTTGATATTGTTATTATTATTTCCTGTTGAAATAATGATTATAGGTTTGTGTCCCGCCGCCATGTGCCAGCCCGTGTGGCGAGAGACAGAGCCACCCCCCCCCCGGATTTGTGTATGGGTGGGGTCCCAGTTATGTTGGGTGGGCTGTTAGTGCTCTATCTTTCCCCCCCCCCACCTCCCCTGTGTCATTTGGTATGGGCAGATGTGTGTGTGTGTGTGTGTGTGCGTGTGCGTGTGGGTGCGTGTGTGTGGAGGCACGCTGTACGATACAAACCTTGATATATGGGACTGCACTCAAGAAAGAGTGTTTATGGAATTAGGAACAGAGGGGGCCGGGGGTTACGACGGAGGTAGGCAGGAGGTTCCTGGACACGGTACGACAACTCAGGTGCAAATACACAGCAAAGTGGACCAGACACAACAGTTCCCTATAATTCATGCATCAATTGCTCCTGTGTGGAGTGTGGTCAAGGTTCAGATTTATGTTGCTCAGGGGTTGAAAAATTTGTCGCCCGCCGACCATGCATGGGTACTGAGGGAACCAGAAAATTTAATTAAATTTGTGCAGGAAAATTCAGGGGGAGAGGGCATTGTATGGGGTGAGTTGTTTCTCACCTGGTTCCATTGGATAATCCATCGGCGGGCATGAGCAGTAGGACAAGAAAGCAGAGATCTTGATCAGATGGTGTCCGTGATGAGTTGTCCTTCCAGCCTCCCAGTACCTCCTCCATCGGAACCCCCCGCTCCACATTGGGCACATAGTTGTCCAAGGTTTGGGCCTGTTAGTGGTGTCAGCTAGTTTGTTGATCAGTACAAGATTTGCTACTTCAGTAGAGTCATTTTTCCCCAACTTACTCCCTTGGCTATAGTGTAGGAAATCGTTGTCTTTTTTCTTGGCAGTTGGTCTTTCTACTGGTCAGTACTGGCGGGTGGTTGTTTTCCCGCTCTTTTGTTTGCACGCATGCGTGTTGGGTTTACGGTTAGAGTAGTAGTATTGGTCCTGTGGCTGTGTGCCCTACTAATCGTCCTGGCATGGCACAGTTTAATTTGTGCGCGGTGTGAACGCGCCTCGTCGGTATCTAGGCTACCTGTACTAGCTGTAGTTTGTGTGTGAGAAACAGTCAGTGCACGTGCCGTGTCACATGACAGTCAGTGTACGTGCTGTCACCTGACTGCTTCTTAGTAGTTATTTTTAGGTCGCGTGCTCTAGCGTCTTATTTAGTACTCAGCTCAGTCGCGTTCGTAGTCATGGTAGTAGTAGTACTAGTGCTAGTCTGTTTATTTATTTTTTTGCCTTGGATCTATCAGTGTTCTTTGTTTTAGTGCAGGATCTAAGTATTTTCTTGAGTTGTCTTTAGTTGTGCTAGTCCAGTGTATCAGTCAGTGTGCTATTGTCTAGTTTATCTGTGCTGAGGTGTTCCTGCTGCGTATCAGCGTTCGTGCGAGGGTAGTCGTGGTGTGCACTGGTCGCGTCAGTTTGGCGGTCCGTTCTCTAGTTGTTGTTTGCTCGCGCTGCGGCGCTCAGTTTTAGGAGTCCAGTTGGTGTCGCCGTGTGAGATTTGAAATTGAATCTCGTAGCTGTCGCTTGTCTATCAACTCGTCTCTACGGTGCTTTCTCCAGTTGGAGCAGGTATGTGCCTGCTGTAGTGTCCTGTAGGCATGCAGTTGGTGTTCGGGTGGCCATCCCCTTACATTATTTTATTTCGTAGGCTTGTGGATATATAATTATTAATATTTGTGCGGCGTTTATGGGTTAGTAATAGCGTCATATCTACGCATTAGTGATTGCGAGTGGGATAAATTTGATTCGTAAGTGGTGTGGTGTTTTTTAGGGTTAGGGTTTGGGGCCAGAGTTGGGGTCAGGGTTGGGGTGGTGCACTACCCCATTGATTAATAGTTGTGTAGTGTCTATGGGTTAGCATTTGCTACCTACCTATGGGTTAGTAATTGCGTAGTGTCTATGGGTTAGTATTTGCCCCATACCTATGGATTAGTATTTGCCACATGCCCATGGGTTAGTGTTTGCCACACACCTATGGATTTGTAATTGCGTATGGGGTGAATAAATTTTTCGTTCGTTGCAAGTGGTGTAGATTTTTAGGGTTTGGGTTAGGGTTAGGGATAGTTGCAGTTGGGTTAGGGGTTGTGCACTGGGTCCATTGGTGAGTGTTTGCACTAGCCCATTAATTAATAGTTGTGTAGTGTCTATGGGTTAGTATTTGCTACCTACCTATGGGTTAGTAATTGCGTAGTGTCTACGGGTTAGTATTTGCCCCATACCTATGGATTAGTATTTGCCACATACCCATGGGTTAGTGTTTGCCACGCACCCATGGATTTGTAATTGCGTATGGGGTGAATGATTTTTTTGTTCGTTGCAAGTGGTGTAGATTTTTAGGGTTTGGGTTAGGGTTAGGGATAGTTGCAGTTGGGTTAGGGGTTGTGCAGTGGGTCCATTGGTGAGTGTTTGCGTGGCGTCTATGGGTTAGTGTTTGCGGCATGTGTACGGGTTAGTAATTATGTGCGGGGTAAATTTTTAATTTATTGCAAGCAGTGTGGTGGTTTGGGTTGGGGTAAGGGTTTGGGCAGTATTCAGGGGCCTACATTGGCGGCGTGTCCATGGGTTAGTAGTTGTTTGCGGGAGACGGTTTAATTATAGTGTTTGTTTCCTAAATTTTATTGTTTGTCGTGTGTTGTGCTATGTGGTTGGCTTCAGTTTCTTCTGCGTGGTTGCGGGCTCTGTGGTTGCCCTTTGGTTCTCGCGCGTCCGTCGTCGTCTTCGTCTGGAGCCGCATTGTCCATCTACAATGGTGGCTGAAGGCCATTTCTTCATGATTCAAGATTTTATATCTGGTACGTTTAGTGCTGTGCGGTAGTTGTTGTTGTTTAGGTTTTCCTTTTTTGTTTGTGTTTGTTGAGTTCAAATGTGGCAGCGTGCACTGTGGAGTCGTGTTCCTTGTCTCGCTGGGCTCCTTTCTGAGGAGTGTGTTCTGTGTCATGCACGGTGAACGCTATTTTCTATATCTATGGGTGTATTTTTACAGCAGTGATGCCAGCACGGTGGTAGCAATTATAGGCACATTTGAGTTTTATTAAGGGGTGGACCTGCACCCCACCCCCGGACAAACAATGAGCGGCGGGCTGTGTAGTGATGAGTGTGTGAACGTGAGTGCGCATGCCGCATGGGTTTGGCTGTGGCGGTGGAGCGGCGGCGTGCAGCGGTCGTCCGCATGTGCGCGGGCAGTGGGACTTTTTTATTTAATTCTATTTGTTTATAAGCAATGATAATAATAATGATAGTACTGCGAACTAAGCGAACTGTAACTACCATCATTACCACCACTTGCCCATTTATGTATAGATGGGGGGCAACTCCCTGTATTCCCCGGGTGTGTCTCAGGCGAGTAGTGTTGCGGAGGGTTTGTTTGGCTACTGCTTCTAGTGCATGGTGTGCGTGTGTGTGAGTGTATCGGTGCTGGGTGTCAGTTGCGAGGGGGGGAGTCCCCTCCGACGGGCATCCAGGCCGTGTTCCTAGTGAGTGAGGACTAGGCCCCCAGGGCGAGCTAAGATCAACTCGAGCTTCCCATGCACCCTCCCCTCCCAATCTCGGTGGTGGAGTAGGGCACGTAACAGGCAACTCCTAGGGTTAGGAATTATTAAGAATGCTAGGCCAACAACAATCACCGTTCACAGTGTCTGCTGACGCTATGTCATCCATGAAGTGAGAACTGCAATGACAGTGCCGGCTTCGCCACCCGGTGCCGTGAATCATTATTTCAGACGCTCAGATCTCCTCCCCGTCAATCAGTAGTTGGGGGCATCAATGTTTGGCCCTTAGTCCCAGGGTGCGGGGTGTTCGGCAGTTATGCACCCCTGCATTCCCTCAGGCATTCTCCTAGCTGGTCTATGGGCACCCATCCCACTCTTATGGGAGGCACGGGTCAGGTCACAGTGCACAGCAAATTGCTAATTTGTTTAAAATATATTCAAATATATATTTTCTTTTACCTGGAGTCGTTTGGGGAACACTGCTCGTGGCAGGCTCTCAGTATCAGTCCTAATGACCAATACATCCAGACTCAAAAGCGGTTATAGTTTGGGGTTAATTTGTGGGCACTGCTGGGTGAGATTTATGTCTGACCCCCGCCTCTATCGGCTAGATGTACTGCATGTGCATACCTCAATGAGGGATAGAATGTGGCGATCTTTTATTTTTTTTTTTTGATATTGTTATTATTATTTCCTGTTGAAATAATGATTATAGGTTTGTGTCCCGCCGCCATGTGCCAGCCCGTGTGGCGAGAGACAGAGCCACCCCCCCCCCGGATTTGTGTATGGGTGGGGTCCCAGTTATGTTGGGTGGGCTGTTAGTGCTCTATCTTTCCCCCCCCCCACCTCCCCTGTGTCATTTGGTATGGGCAGATGTGTGTGTGTGTGTGTGTGTGCGTGTGCGTGTGGGTGCGTGTGTGTGGAGGCACGCTGTACGATACAAACCTTGATATATGGGACTGCACTCAAGAAAGAGTGTTTATGGAATTAGGAACAGAGGGGGCCGGGGGTTACGACGGAGGTAGGCAGGAGGTTCCTGGACACGGTACGACAACTCAGGTGCAAATACACAGCAAAGTGGACCAGACACAACAGTTCCCTATAATTCATGCATCAATTGCTCCTGTGTGGAGTGTGGTCAAGGTTCAGATTTATGTTGCTCAGGGGTTGAAAAATTTGTCGCCCGCCGACCATGCATGGGTACTGAGGGAACCAGAAAATTTAATTAAATTTGTGCAGGAAAATTCAGGGGGAGAGGGCATTGTATGGGGTGAGTTGTTTCTCACCTGGTTCCATTGGATAATCCATCGGCGGGCATGAGCAGTAGGACAAGAAAGCAGAGATCTTGATCAGATGGTGTCCGTGATGAGTTGTCCTTCCAGCCTCCCAGTACCTCCTCCATCGGAACCCCCCGCTCCACATTGGGCACATAGTTGTCCAAGGTTTGGGCCTGTTAGTGGTGTCAGCTAGTTTGTTGATCAGTACAAGATTTGCTACTTCAGTAGAGTCATTTTTCCCCAACTTACTCCCTTGGCTATAGTGTAGGAAATCGTTGTCTTTTTTCTTGGCAGTTGGTCTTTCTACTGGTCAGTACTGGCGGGTGGTTGTTTTCCCGCTCTTTTGTTTGCACGCATGCGTGTTGGGTTTACGGTTAGAGTAGTAGTATTGGTCCTGTGGCTGTGTGCCCTACTAATCGTCCTGGCATGGCACAGTTTAATTTGTGCGCGGTGTGAACGCGCCTCGTCGGTATCTAGGCTACCTGTACTAGCTGTAGTTTGTGTGTGAGAAACAGTCAGTGCACGTGCCGTGTCACATGACAGTCAGTGTACGTGCTGTCACCTGACTGCTTCTTAGTAGTTATTTTTAGGTCGCGTGCTCTAGCGTCTTATTTAGTACTCAGCTCAGTCGCGTTCGTAGTCATGGTAGTAGTAGTACTAGTGCTAGTCTGTTTATTTATTTTTTTGCCTTGGATCTATCAGTGTTCTTTGTTTTAGTGCAGGATCTAAGTATTTTCTTGAGTTGTCTTTAGTTGTGCTAGTCCAGTGTATCAGTCAGTGTGCTATTGTCTAGTTTATCTGTGCTGAGGTGTTCCTGCTGCGTATCAGCGTTCGTGCGAGGGTAGTCGTGGTGTGCACTGGTCGCGTCAGTTTGGCGGTCCGTTCTCTAGTTGTTGTTTGCTCGCGCTGCGGCGCTCAGTTTTAGGAGTCCAGTTGGTGTCGCCGTGTGAGATTTGAAATTGAATCTCGTAGCTGTCGCTTGTCTATCAACTCGTCTCTACGGTGCTTTCTCCAGTTGGAGCAGGTATGTGCCTGCTGTAGTGTCCTGTAGGCATGCAGTTGGTGTTCGGGTGGCCATCCCCTTACATTATTTTATTTCGTAGGCTTGTGGATATATAATTATTAATATTTGTGCGGCGTTTATGGGTTAGTAATAGCGTCATATCTACGCATTAGTGATTGCGAGTGGGATAAATTTGATTCGTAAGTGGTGTGGTGTTTTTTAGGGTTAGGGTTTGGGGCCAGAGTTGGGGTCAGGGTTGGGGTGGTGCACTACCCCATTGATTAATAGTTGTGTAGTGTCTATGGGTTAGCATTTGCTACCTACCTATGGGTTAGTAATTGCGTAGTGTCTATGGGTTAGTATTTGCCCCATACCTATGGATTAGTATTTGCCACATGCCCATGGGTTAGTGTTTGCCACACACCTATGGATTTGTAATTGCGTATGGGGTGAATAAATTTTTCGTTCGTTGCAAGTGGTGTAGATTTTTAGGGTTTGGGTTAGGGTTAGGGATAGTTGCAGTTGGGTTAGGGGTTGTGCACTGGGTCCATTGGTGAGTGTTTGCACTAGCCCATTAATTAATAGTTGTGTAGTGTCTATGGGTTAGTATTTGCTACCTACCTATGGGTTAGTAATTGCGTAGTGTCTACGGGTTAGTATTTGCCCCATACCTATGGATTAGTATTTGCCACATACCCATGGGTTAGTGTTTGCCACGCACCCATGGATTTGTAATTGCGTATGGGGTGAATGATTTTTTTGTTCGTTGCAAGTGGTGTAGATTTTTAGGGTTTGGGTTAGGGTTAGGGATAGTTGCAGTTGGGTTAGGGGTTGTGCAGTGGGTCCATTGGTGAGTGTTTGCGTGGCGTCTATGGGTTAGTGTTTGCGGCATGTGTACGGGTTAGTAATTATGTGCGGGGTAAATTTTTAATTTATTGCAAGCAGTGTGGTGGTTTGGGTTGGGGTAAGGGTTTGGGCAGTATTCAGGGGCCTACATTGGCGGCGTGTCCATGGGTTAGTAGTTGTTTGCGGGAGACGGTTTAATTATAGTGTTTGTTTCCTAAATTTTATTGTTTGTCGTGTGTTGTGCTATGTGGTTGGCTTCAGTTTCTTCTGCGTGGTTGCGGGCTCTGTGGTTGCCCTTTGGTTCTCGCGCGTCCGTCGTCGTCTTCGTCTGGAGCCGCATTGTCCATCTACAATGGTGGCTGAAGGCCATTTCTTCATGATTCAAGATTTTATATCTGGTACGTTTAGTGCTGTGCGGTAGTTGTTGTTGTTTAGGTTTTCCTTTTTTGTTTGTGTTTGTTGAGTTCAAATGTGGCAGCGTGCACTGTGGAGTCGTGTTCCTTGTCTCGCTGGGCTCCTTTCTGAGGAGTGTGTTCTGTGTCATGCACGGTGAACGCTATTTTCTATATCTATGGGTGTATTTTTACAGCAGTGATGCCAGCACGGTGGTAGCAATTATAGGCACATTTGAGTTTTATTAAGGGGTGGACCTGCACCCCACCCCCGGACAAACAATGAGCGGCGGGCTGTGTAGTGATGAGTGTGTGAACGTGAGTGCGCATGCCGCATGGGTTTGGCTGTGGCGGTGGAGCGGCGGCGTGCAGCGGTCGTCCGCATGTGCGCGGGCAGTGGGACTTTTTTATTTAATTCTATTTGTTTATAAGCAATGATAATAATAATGATAGTACTGCGAACTAAGCGAACTGTAACTACCATCATTACCACCACTTGCCCATTTATGTATAGATGGGGGGCAACTCCCTGTATTCCCCGGGTGTGTCTCAGGCGAGTAGTGTTGCGGAGGGTTTGTTTGGCTACTGCTTCTAGTGCATGGTGTGCGTGTGTGTGAGTGTATCGGTGCTGGGTGTCAGTTGCGAGGGGGGGAGTCCCCTCCGACGGGCATCCAGGCCGTGTTCCTAGTGAGTGAGGACTAGGCCCCCAGGGCGAGCTAAGATCAACTCGAGCTTCCCATGCACCCTCCCCTCCCAATCTCGGTGGTGGAGTAGGGCACGTAACAGGCAACTCCTAGGGTTAGGAATTATTAAGAATGCTAGGCCAACAACAATCACCGTTCACAGTGTCTGCTGACGCTATGTCATCCATGAAGTGAGAACTGCAATGACAGTGCCGGCTTCGCCACCCGGTGCCGTGAATCATTATTTCAGACGCTCAGATCTCCTCCCCGTCAATCAGTAGTTGGGGGCATCAATGTTTGGCCCTTAGTCCCAGGGTGCGGGGTGTTCGGCAGTTATGCACCCCTGCATTCCCTCAGGCATTCTCCTAGCTGGTCTATGGGCACCCATCCCACTCTTATGGGAGGCACGGGTCAGGTCACAGTGCACAGCAAATTGCTAATTTGTTTAAAATATATTCAAATATATATTTTCTTTTACCTGGAGTCGTTTGGGGAACACTGCTCGTGGCAGGCTCTCAGTATCAGTCCTAATGACCAATACATCCAGACTCAAAAGCGGTTATAGTTTGGGGTTAATTTGTGGGCACTGCTGGGTGAGATTTATGTCTGACCCCCGCCTCTATCGGCTAGATGTACTGCATGTGCATACCTCAATGAGGGATAGAATGTGGCGATCTTTTATTTTTTTTTTTTGATATTGTTATTATTATTTCCTGTTGAAATAATGATTATAGGTTTGTGTCCCGCCGCCATGTGCCAGCCCGTGTGGCGAGAGACAGAGCCACCCCCCCCCCGGATTTGTGTATGGGTGGGGTCCCAGTTATGTTGGGTGGGCTGTTAGTGCTCTATCTTTCCCCCCCCCCACCTCCCCTGTGTCATTTGGTATGGGCAGATGTGTGTGTGTGTGTGTGTGTGCGTGTGCGTGTGGGTGCGTGTGTGTGGAGGCACGCTGTACGATACAAACCTTGATATATGGGACTGCACTCAAGAAAGAGTGTTTATGGAATTAGGAACAGAGGGGGCCGGGGGTTACGACGGAGGTAGGCAGGAGGTTCCTGGACACGGTACGACAACTCAGGTGCAAATACACAGCAAAGTGGACCAGACACAACAGTTCCCTATAATTCATGCATCAATTGCTCCTGTGTGGAGTGTGGTCAAGGTTCAGATTTATGTTGCTCAGGGGTTGAAAAATTTGTCGCCCGCCGACCATGCATGGGTACTGAGGGAACCAGAAAATTTAATTAAATTTGTGCAGGAAAATTCAGGGGGAGAGGGCATTGTATGGGGTGAGTTGTTTCTCACCTGGTTCCATTGGATAATCCATCGGCGGGCATGAGCAGTAGGACAAGAAAGCAGAGATCTTGATCAGATGGTGTCCGTGATGAGTTGTCCTTCCAGCCTCCCAGTACCTCCTCCATCGGAACCCCCCGCTCCACATTGGGCACATAGTTGTCCAAGGTTTGGGCCTGTTAGTGGTGTCAGCTAGTTTGTTGATCAGTACAAGATTTGCTACTTCAGTAGAGTCATTTTTCCCCAACTTACTCCCTTGGCTATAGTGTAGGAAATCGTTGTCTTTTTTCTTGGCAGTTGGTCTTTCTACTGGTCAGTACTGGCGGGTGGTTGTTTTCCCGCTCTTTTGTTTGCACGCATGCGTGTTGGGTTTACGGTTAGAGTAGTAGTATTGGTCCTGTGGCTGTGTGCCCTACTAATCGTCCTGGCATGGCACAGTTTAATTTGTGCGCGGTGTGAACGCGCCTCGTCGGTATCTAGGCTACCTGTACTAGCTGTAGTTTGTGTGTGAGAAACAGTCAGTGCACGTGCCGTGTCACATGACAGTCAGTGTACGTGCTGTCACCTGACTGCTTCTTAGTAGTTATTTTTAGGTCGCGTGCTCTAGCGTCTTATTTAGTACTCAGCTCAGTCGCGTTCGTAGTCATGGTAGTAGTAGTACTAGTGCTAGTCTGTTTATTTATTTTTTTGCCTTGGATCTATCAGTGTTCTTTGTTTTAGTGCAGGATCTAAGTATTTTCTTGAGTTGTCTTTAGTTGTGCTAGTCCAGTGTATCAGTCAGTGTGCTATTGTCTAGTTTATCTGTGCTGAGGTGTTCCTGCTGCGTATCAGCGTTCGTGCGAGGGTAGTCGTGGTGTGCACTGGTCGCGTCAGTTTGGCGGTCCGTTCTCTAGTTGTTGTTTGCTCGCGCTGCGGCGCTCAGTTTTAGGAGTCCAGTTGGTGTCGCCGTGTGAGATTTGAAATTGAATCTCGTAGCTGTCGCTTGTCTATCAACTCGTCTCTACGGTGCTTTCTCCAGTTGGAGCAGGTATGTGCCTGCTGTAGTGTCCTGTAGGCATGCAGTTGGTGTTCGGGTGGCCATCCCCTTACATTATTTTATTTCGTAGGCTTGTGGATATATAATTATTAATATTTGTGCGGCGTTTATGGGTTAGTAATAGCGTCATATCTACGCATTAGTGATTGCGAGTGGGATAAATTTGATTCGTAAGTGGTGTGGTGTTTTTTAGGGTTAGGGTTTGGGGCCAGAGTTGGGGTCAGGGTTGGGGTGGTGCACTACCCCATTGATTAATAGTTGTGTAGTGTCTATGGGTTAGCATTTGCTACCTACCTATGGGTTAGTAATTGCGTAGTGTCTATGGGTTAGTATTTGCCCCATACCTATGGATTAGTATTTGCCACATGCCCATGGGTTAGTGTTTGCCACACACCTATGGATTTGTAATTGCGTATGGGGTGAATAAATTTTTCGTTCGTTGCAAGTGGTGTAGATTTTTAGGGTTTGGGTTAGGGTTAGGGATAGTTGCAGTTGGGTTAGGGGTTGTGCACTGGGTCCATTGGTGAGTGTTTGCACTAGCCCATTAATTAATAGTTGTGTAGTGTCTATGGGTTAGTATTTGCTACCTACCTATGGGTTAGTAATTGCGTAGTGTCTACGGGTTAGTATTTGCCCCATACCTATGGATTAGTATTTGCCACATACCCATGGGTTAGTGTTTGCCACGCACCCATGGATTTGTAATTGCGTATGGGGTGAATGATTTTTTTGTTCGTTGCAAGTGGTGTAGATTTTTAGGGTTTGGGTTAGGGTTAGGGATAGTTGCAGTTGGGTTAGGGGTTGTGCAGTGGGTCCATTGGTGAGTGTTTGCGTGGCGTCTATGGGTTAGTGTTTGCGGCATGTGTACGGGTTAGTAATTATGTGCGGGGTAAATTTTTAATTTATTGCAAGCAGTGTGGTGGTTTGGGTTGGGGTAAGGGTTTGGGCAGTATTCAGGGGCCTACATTGGCGGCGTGTCCATGGGTTAGTAGTTGTTTGCGGGAGACGGTTTAATTATAGTGTTTGTTTCCTAAATTTTATTGTTTGTCGTGTGTTGTGCTATGTGGTTGGCTTCAGTTTCTTCTGCGTGGTTGCGGGCTCTGTGGTTGCCCTTTGGTTCTCGCGCGTCCGTCGTCGTCTTCGTCTGGAGCCGCATTGTCCATCTACAATGGTGGCTGAAGGCCATTTCTTCATGATTCAAGATTTTATATCTGGTACGTTTAGTGCTGTGCGGTAGTTGTTGTTGTTTAGGTTTTCCTTTTTTGTTTGTGTTTGTTGAGTTCAAATGTGGCAGCGTGCACTGTGGAGTCGTGTTCCTTGTCTCGCTGGGCTCCTTTCTGAGGAGTGTGTTCTGTGTCATGCACGGTGAACGCTATTTTCTATATCTATGGGTGTATTTTTACAGCAGTGATGCCAGCACGGTGGTAGCAATTATAGGCACATTTGAGTTTTATTAAGGGGTGGACCTGCACCCCACCCCCGGACAAACAATGAGCGGCGGGCTGTGTAGTGATGAGTGTGTGAACGTGAGTGCGCATGCCGCATGGGTTTGGCTGTGGCGGTGGAGCGGCGGCGTGCAGCGGTCGTCCGCATGTGCGCGGGCAGTGGGACTTTTTTATTTAATTCTATTTGTTTATAAGCAATGATAATAATAATGATAGTACTGCGAACTAAGCGAACTGTAACTACCATCATTACCACCACTTGCCCATTTATGTATAGATGGGGGGCAACTCCCTGTATTCCCCGGGTGTGTCTCAGGCGAGTAGTGTTGCGGAGGGTTTGTTTGGCTACTGCTTCTAGTGCATGGTGTGCGTGTGTGTGAGTGTATCGGTGCTGGGTGTCAGTTGCGAGGGGGGGAGTCCCCTCCGACGGGCATCCAGGCCGTGTTCCTAGTGAGTGAGGACTAGGCCCCCAGGGCGAGCTAAGATCAACTCGAGCTTCCCATGCACCCTCCCCTCCCAATCTCGGTGGTGGAGTAGGGCACGTAACAGGCAACTCCTAGGGTTAGGAATTATTAAGAATGCTAGGCCAACAACAATCACCGTTCACAGTGTCTGCTGACGCTATGTCATCCATGAAGTGAGAACTGCAATGACAGTGCCGGCTTCGCCACCCGGTGCCGTGAATCATTATTTCAGACGCTCAGATCTCCTCCCCGTCAATCAGTAGTTGGGGGCATCAATGTTTGGCCCTTAGTCCCAGGGTGCGGGGTGTTCGGCAGTTATGCACCCCTGCATTCCCTCAGGCATTCTCCTAGCTGGTCTATGGGCACCCATCCCACTCTTATGGGAGGCACGGGTCAGGTCACAGTGCACAGCAAATTGCTAATTTGTTTAAAATATATTCAAATATATATTTTCTTTTACCTGGAGTCGTTTGGGGAACACTGCTCGTGGCAGGCTCTCAGTATCAGTCCTAATGACCAATACATCCAGACTCAAAAGCGGTTATAGTTTGGGGTTAATTTGTGGGCACTGCTGGGTGAGATTTATGTCTGACCCCCGCCTCTATCGGCTAGATGTACTGCATGTGCATACCTCAATGAGGGATAGAATGTGGCGATCTTTTATTTTTTTTTTTTGATATTGTTATTATTATTTCCTGTTGAAATAATGATTATAGGTTTGTGTCCCGCCGCCATGTGCCAGCCCGTGTGGCGAGAGACAGAGCCACCCCCCCCCCGGATTTGTGTATGGGTGGGGTCCCAGTTATGTTGGGTGGGCTGTTAGTGCTCTATCTTTCCCCCCCCCCACCTCCCCTGTGTCATTTGGTATGGGCAGATGTGTGTGTGTGTGTGTGTGTGCGTGTGCGTGTGGGTGCGTGTGTGTGGAGGCACGCTGTACGATACAAACCTTGATATATGGGACTGCACTCAAGAAAGAGTGTTTATGGAATTAGGAACAGAGGGGGCCGGGGGTTACGACGGAGGTAGGCAGGAGGTTCCTGGACACGGTACGACAACTCAGGTGCAAATACACAGCAAAGTGGACCAGACACAACAGTTCCCTATAATTCATGCATCAATTGCTCCTGTGTGGAGTGTGGTCAAGGTTCAGATTTATGTTGCTCAGGGGTTGAAAAATTTGTCGCCCGCCGACCATGCATGGGTACTGAGGGAACCAGAAAATTTAATTAAATTTGTGCAGGAAAATTCAGGGGGAGAGGGCATTGTATGGGGTGAGTTGTTTCTCACCTGGTTCCATTGGATAATCCATCGGCGGGCATGAGCAGTAGGACAAGAAAGCAGAGATCTTGATCAGATGGTGTCCGTGATGAGTTGTCCTTCCAGCCTCCCAGTACCTCCTCCATCGGAACCCCCCGCTCCACATTGGGCACATAGTTGTCCAAGGTTTGGGCCTGTTAGTGGTGTCAGCTAGTTTGTTGATCAGTACAAGATTTGCTACTTCAGTAGAGTCATTTTTCCCCAACTTACTCCCTTGGCTATAGTGTAGGAAATCGTTGTCTTTTTTCTTGGCAGTTGGTCTTTCTACTGGTCAGTACTGGCGGGTGGTTGTTTTCCCGCTCTTTTGTTTGCACGCATGCGTGTTGGGTTTACGGTTAGAGTAGTAGTATTGGTCCTGTGGCTGTGTGCCCTACTAATCGTCCTGGCATGGCACAGTTTAATTTGTGCGCGGTGTGAACGCGCCTCGTCGGTATCTAGGCTACCTGTACTAGCTGTAGTTTGTGTGTGAGAAACAGTCAGTGCACGTGCCGTGTCACATGACAGTCAGTGTACGTGCTGTCACCTGACTGCTTCTTAGTAGTTATTTTTAGGTCGCGTGCTCTAGCGTCTTATTTAGTACTCAGCTCAGTCGCGTTCGTAGTCATGGTAGTAGTAGTACTAGTGCTAGTCTGTTTATTTATTTTTTTGCCTTGGATCTATCAGTGTTCTTTGTTTTAGTGCAGGATCTAAGTATTTTCTTGAGTTGTCTTTAGTTGTGCTAGTCCAGTGTATCAGTCAGTGTGCTATTGTCTAGTTTATCTGTGCTGAGGTGTTCCTGCTGCGTATCAGCGTTCGTGCGAGGGTAGTCGTGGTGTGCACTGGTCGCGTCAGTTTGGCGGTCCGTTCTCTAGTTGTTGTTTGCTCGCGCTGCGGCGCTCAGTTTTAGGAGTCCAGTTGGTGTCGCCGTGTGAGATTTGAAATTGAATCTCGTAGCTGTCGCTTGTCTATCAACTCGTCTCTACGGTGCTTTCTCCAGTTGGAGCAGGTATGTGCCTGCTGTAGTGTCCTGTAGGCATGCAGTTGGTGTTCGGGTGGCCATCCCCTTACATTATTTTATTTCGTAGGCTTGTGGATATATAATTATTAATATTTGTGCGGCGTTTATGGGTTAGTAATAGCGTCATATCTACGCATTAGTGATTGCGAGTGGGATAAATTTGATTCGTAAGTGGTGTGGTGTTTTTTAGGGTTAGGGTTTGGGGCCAGAGTTGGGGTCAGGGTTGGGGTGGTGCACTACCCCATTGATTAATAGTTGTGTAGTGTCTATGGGTTAGCATTTGCTACCTACCTATGGGTTAGTAATTGCGTAGTGTCTATGGGTTAGTATTTGCCCCATACCTATGGATTAGTATTTGCCACATGCCCATGGGTTAGTGTTTGCCACACACCTATGGATTTGTAATTGCGTATGGGGTGAATAAATTTTTCGTTCGTTGCAAGTGGTGTAGATTTTTAGGGTTTGGGTTAGGGTTAGGGATAGTTGCAGTTGGGTTAGGGGTTGTGCACTGGGTCCATTGGTGAGTGTTTGCACTAGCCCATTAATTAATAGTTGTGTAGTGTCTATGGGTTAGTATTTGCTACCTACCTATGGGTTAGTAATTGCGTAGTGTCTACGGGTTAGTATTTGCCCCATACCTATGGATTAGTATTTGCCACATACCCATGGGTTAGTGTTTGCCACGCACCCATGGATTTGTAATTGCGTATGGGGTGAATGATTTTTTTGTTCGTTGCAAGTGGTGTAGATTTTTAGGGTTTGGGTTAGGGTTAGGGATAGTTGCAGTTGGGTTAGGGGTTGTGCAGTGGGTCCATTGGTGAGTGTTTGCGTGGCGTCTATGGGTTAGTGTTTGCGGCATGTGTACGGGTTAGTAATTATGTGCGGGGTAAATTTTTAATTTATTGCAAGCAGTGTGGTGGTTTGGGTTGGGGTAAGGGTTTGGGCAGTATTCAGGGGCCTACATTGGCGGCGTGTCCATGGGTTAGTAGTTGTTTGCGGGAGACGGTTTAATTATAGTGTTTGTTTCCTAAATTTTATTGTTTGTCGTGTGTTGTGCTATGTGGTTGGCTTCAGTTTCTTCTGCGTGGTTGCGGGCTCTGTGGTTGCCCTTTGGTTCTCGCGCGTCCGTCGTCGTCTTCGTCTGGAGCCGCATTGTCCATCTACAATGGTGGCTGAAGGCCATTTCTTCATGATTCAAGATTTTATATCTGGTACGTTTAGTGCTGTGCGGTAGTTGTTGTTGTTTAGGTTTTCCTTTTTTGTTTGTGTTTGTTGAGTTCAAATGTGGCAGCGTGCACTGTGGAGTCGTGTTCCTTGTCTCGCTGGGCTCCTTTCTGAGGAGTGTGTTCTGTGTCATGCACGGTGAACGCTATTTTCTATATCTATGGGTGTATTTTTACAGCAGTGATGCCAGCACGGTGGTAGCAATTATAGGCACATTTGAGTTTTATTAAGGGGTGGACCTGCACCCCACCCCCGGACAAACAATGAGCGGCGGGCTGTGTAGTGATGAGTGTGTGAACGTGAGTGCGCATGCCGCATGGGTTTGGCTGTGGCGGTGGAGCGGCGGCGTGCAGCGGTCGTCCGCATGTGCGCGGGCAGTGGGACTTTTTTATTTAATTCTATTTGTTTATAAGCAATGATAATAATAATGATAGTACTGCGAACTAAGCGAACTGTAACTACCATCATTACCACCACTTGCCCATTTATGTATAGATGGGGGGCAACTCCCTGTATTCCCCGGGTGTGTCTCAGGCGAGTAGTGTTGCGGAGGGTTTGTTTGGCTACTGCTTCTAGTGCATGGTGTGCGTGTGTGTGAGTGTATCGGTGCTGGGTGTCAGTTGCGAGGGGGGGAGTCCCCTCCGACGGGCATCCAGGCCGTGTTCCTAGTGAGTGAGGACTAGGCCCCCAGGGCGAGCTAAGATCAACTCGAGCTTCCCATGCACCCTCCCCTCCCAATCTCGGTGGTGGAGTAGGGCACGTAACAGGCAACTCCTAGGGTTAGGAATTATTAAGAATGCTAGGCCAACAACAATCACCGTTCACAGTGTCTGCTGACGCTATGTCATCCATGAAGTGAGAACTGCAATGACAGTGCCGGCTTCGCCACCCGGTGCCGTGAATCATTATTTCAGACGCTCAGATCTCCTCCCCGTCAATCAGTAGTTGGGGGCATCAATGTTTGGCCCTTAGTCCCAGGGTGCGGGGTGTTCGGCAGTTATGCACCCCTGCATTCCCTCAGGCATTCTCCTAGCTGGTCTATGGGCACCCATCCCACTCTTATGGGAGGCACGGGTCAGGTCACAGTGCACAGCAAATTGCTAATTTGTTTAAAATATATTCAAATATATATTTTCTTTTACCTGGAGTCGTTTGGGGAACACTGCTCGTGGCAGGCTCTCAGTATCAGTCCTAATGACCAATACATCCAGACTCAAAAGCGGTTATAGTTTGGGGTTAATTTGTGGGCACTGCTGGGTGAGATTTATGTCTGACCCCCGCCTCTATCGGCTAGATGTACTGCATGTGCATACCTCAATGAGGGATAGAATGTGGCGATCTTTTATTTTTTTTTTTTGATATTGTTATTATTATTTCCTGTTGAAATAATGATTATAGGTTTGTGTCCCGCCGCCATGTGCCAGCCCGTGTGGCGAGAGACAGAGCCACCCCCCCCCCGGATTTGTGTATGGGTGGGGTCCCAGTTATGTTGGGTGGGCTGTTAGTGCTCTATCTTTCCCCCCCCCCACCTCCCCTGTGTCATTTGGTATGGGCAGATGTGTGTGTGTGTGTGTGTGTGCGTGTGCGTGTGGGTGCGTGTGTGTGGAGGCACGCTGTACGATACAAACCTTGATATATGGGACTGCACTCAAGAAAGAGTGTTTATGGAATTAGGAACAGAGGGGGCCGGGGGTTACGACGGAGGTAGGCAGGAGGTTCCTGGACACGGTACGACAACTCAGGTGCAAATACACAGCAAAGTGGACCAGACACAACAGTTCCCTATAATTCATGCATCAATTGCTCCTGTGTGGAGTGTGGTCAAGGTTCAGATTTATGTTGCTCAGGGGTTGAAAAATTTGTCGCCCGCCGACCATGCATGGGTACTGAGGGAACCAGAAAATTTAATTAAATTTGTGCAGGAAAATTCAGGGGGAGAGGGCATTGTATGGGGTGAGTTGTTTCTCACCTGGTTCCATTGGATAATCCATCGGCGGGCATGAGCAGTAGGACAAGAAAGCAGAGATCTTGATCAGATGGTGTCCGTGATGAGTTGTCCTTCCAGCCTCCCAGTACCTCCTCCATCGGAACCCCCCGCTCCACATTGGGCACATAGTTGTCCAAGGTTTGGGCCTGTTAGTGGTGTCAGCTAGTTTGTTGATCAGTACAAGATTTGCTACTTCAGTAGAGTCATTTTTCCCCAACTTACTCCCTTGGCTATAGTGTAGGAAATCGTTGTCTTTTTTCTTGGCAGTTGGTCTTTCTACTGGTCAGTACTGGCGGGTGGTTGTTTTCCCGCTCTTTTGTTTGCACGCATGCGTGTTGGGTTTACGGTTAGAGTAGTAGTATTGGTCCTGTGGCTGTGTGCCCTACTAATCGTCCTGGCATGGCACAGTTTAATTTGTGCGCGGTGTGAACGCGCCTCGTCGGTATCTAGGCTACCTGTACTAGCTGTAGTTTGTGTGTGAGAAACAGTCAGTGCACGTGCCGTGTCACATGACAGTCAGTGTACGTGCTGTCACCTGACTGCTTCTTAGTAGTTATTTTTAGGTCGCGTGCTCTAGCGTCTTATTTAGTACTCAGCTCAGTCGCGTTCGTAGTCATGGTAGTAGTAGTACTAGTGCTAGTCTGTTTATTTATTTTTTTGCCTTGGATCTATCAGTGTTCTTTGTTTTAGTGCAGGATCTAAGTATTTTCTTGAGTTGTCTTTAGTTGTGCTAGTCCAGTGTATCAGTCAGTGTGCTATTGTCTAGTTTATCTGTGCTGAGGTGTTCCTGCTGCGTATCAGCGTTCGTGCGAGGGTAGTCGTGGTGTGCACTGGTCGCGTCAGTTTGGCGGTCCGTTCTCTAGTTGTTGTTTGCTCGCGCTGCGGCGCTCAGTTTTAGGAGTCCAGTTGGTGTCGCCGTGTGAGATTTGAAATTGAATCTCGTAGCTGTCGCTTGTCTATCAACTCGTCTCTACGGTGCTTTCTCCAGTTGGAGCAGGTATGTGCCTGCTGTAGTGTCCTGTAGGCATGCAGTTGGTGTTCGGGTGGCCATCCCCTTACATTATTTTATTTCGTAGGCTTGTGGATATATAATTATTAATATTTGTGCGGCGTTTATGGGTTAGTAATAGCGTCATATCTACGCATTAGTGATTGCGAGTGGGATAAATTTGATTCGTAAGTGGTGTGGTGTTTTTTAGGGTTAGGGTTTGGGGCCAGAGTTGGGGTCAGGGTTGGGGTGGTGCACTACCCCATTGATTAATAGTTGTGTAGTGTCTATGGGTTAGCATTTGCTACCTACCTATGGGTTAGTAATTGCGTAGTGTCTATGGGTTAGTATTTGCCCCATACCTATGGATTAGTATTTGCCACATGCCCATGGGTTAGTGTTTGCCACACACCTATGGATTTGTAATTGCGTATGGGGTGAATAAATTTTTCGTTCGTTGCAAGTGGTGTAGATTTTTAGGGTTTGGGTTAGGGTTAGGGATAGTTGCAGTTGGGTTAGGGGTTGTGCACTGGGTCCATTGGTGAGTGTTTGCACTAGCCCATTAATTAATAGTTGTGTAGTGTCTATGGGTTAGTATTTGCTACCTACCTATGGGTTAGTAATTGCGTAGTGTCTACGGGTTAGTATTTGCCCCATACCTATGGATTAGTATTTGCCACATACCCATGGGTTAGTGTTTGCCACGCACCCATGGATTTGTAATTGCGTATGGGGTGAATGATTTTTTTGTTCGTTGCAAGTGGTGTAGATTTTTAGGGTTTGGGTTAGGGTTAGGGATAGTTGCAGTTGGGTTAGGGGTTGTGCAGTGGGTCCATTGGTGAGTGTTTGCGTGGCGTCTATGGGTTAGTGTTTGCGGCATGTGTACGGGTTAGTAATTATGTGCGGGGTAAATTTTTAATTTATTGCAAGCAGTGTGGTGGTTTGGGTTGGGGTAAGGGTTTGGGCAGTATTCAGGGGCCTACATTGGCGGCGTGTCCATGGGTTAGTAGTTGTTTGCGGGAGACGGTTTAATTATAGTGTTTGTTTCCTAAATTTTATTGTTTGTCGTGTGTTGTGCTATGTGGTTGGCTTCAGTTTCTTCTGCGTGGTTGCGGGCTCTGTGGTTGCCCTTTGGTTCTCGCGCGTCCGTCGTCGTCTTCGTCTGGAGCCGCATTGTCCATCTACAATGGTGGCTGAAGGCCATTTCTTCATGATTCAAGATTTTATATCTGGTACGTTTAGTGCTGTGCGGTAGTTGTTGTTGTTTAGGTTTTCCTTTTTTGTTTGTGTTTGTTGAGTTCAAATGTGGCAGCGTGCACTGTGGAGTCGTGTTCCTTGTCTCGCTGGGCTCCTTTCTGAGGAGTGTGTTCTGTGTCATGCACGGTGAACGCTATTTTCTATATCTATGGGTGTATTTTTACAGCAGTGATGCCAGCACGGTGGTAGCAATTATAGGCACATTTGAGTTTTATTAAGGGGTGGACCTGCACCCCACCCCCGGACAAACAATGAGCGGCGGGCTGTGTAGTGATGAGTGTGTGAACGTGAGTGCGCATGCCGCATGGGTTTGGCTGTGGCGGTGGAGCGGCGGCGTGCAGCGGTCGTCCGCATGTGCGCGGGCAGTGGGACTTTTTTATTTAATTCTATTTGTTTATAAGCAATGATAATAATAATGATAGTACTGCGAACTAAGCGAACTGTAACTACCATCATTACCACCACTTGCCCATTTATGTATAGATGGGGGGCAACTCCCTGTATTCCCCGGGTGTGTCTCAGGCGAGTAGTGTTGCGGAGGGTTTGTTTGGCTACTGCTTCTAGTGCATGGTGTGCGTGTGTGTGAGTGTATCGGTGCTGGGTGTCAGTTGCGAGGGGGGGAGTCCCCTCCGACGGGCATCCAGGCCGTGTTCCTAGTGAGTGAGGACTAGGCCCCCAGGGCGAGCTAAGATCAACTCGAGCTTCCCATGCACCCTCCCCTCCCAATCTCGGTGGTGGAGTAGGGCACGTAACAGGCAACTCCTAGGGTTAGGAATTATTAAGAATGCTAGGCCAACAACAATCACCGTTCACAGTGTCTGCTGACGCTATGTCATCCATGAAGTGAGAACTGCAATGACAGTGCCGGCTTCGCCACCCGGTGCCGTGAATCATTATTTCAGACGCTCAGATCTCCTCCCCGTCAATCAGTAGTTGGGGGCATCAATGTTTGGCCCTTAGTCCCAGGGTGCGGGGTGTTCGGCAGTTATGCACCCCTGCATTCCCTCAGGGGGGTTAGGGTTAGGGTTAGGGTTAGGGTTAGGGTTAGGGTTAGGGTTAGGGTTAGGGTTAGGGTTAGGGTTAGGGTTAGGGTTAGGGTTAGGGTTAGGGTTAGGGTTAGGGTTAGGGTTAGGGTTAGGGTTAGGGTTAGGGTTAGGGTTAGGGTTAGGGTTAGGGTTAGGGTTAGGGTTAGGGTTAGGGTTAGGGTTAGGGTTAGGGTTAGGGTTAGGGTTAGGGTTAGGGTTAGGGTTAGGGTTAGGGTTAGGGTTAGGGTTAGGGTTAGGGTTAGGGTTAGGGTTAGGGTTAGGGTTAGGGTTAGGGTTAGGGTTAGGGTTAGGGTTAGGGTTAGGGTTAGGGTTAGGGTTAGGGTTAGGGTTAGGGTTAGGGTTAGGGTTAGGGTTAGGGTTAGGGTTAGGGTTAGGGTTAGGGTTAGGGTTAGGGTTAGGGTTAGGGTTAGGGTTAGGGTTAGGGTTAGGGTTAGGGTTAGGGTTAGGGTTAGGGTTAGGGTTAGGGTTAGGGTTAGGGTTAGGGTTAGGGTTAGGGTTAGGGTTAGGGTTAGGGTTAGGGTTAGGGTTAGGGTTAGGGTTAGGGTTAGGGTTAGGGTTAGGGTTAGGGTTAGGGTTAGGGTTAGGGTTAGGGTTAGGGTTAGGGTTAGGGTTAGGGTTAGGGTTAGGGTTAGGGTTAGGGTTAGGGTTAGGGTTAGGGTTAGGGTTAGGGTTAGGGTTAGGGTTAGGGTTAGGGTTAGGGTTAGGGTTAGGGTTAGGGTTAGGGTTAGGGTTAGGGTTAGGGTTAGGGTTAGGGTTAGGGTTAGGGTTAGGGTTAGGGTTAGGGTTAGGGTTAGGGTTAGGGTTAGGGTTAGGGTTAGGGTTAGGGTTAGGGTTAGGGTTAGGGTTAGGGTTAGGGTTAGGGTTAGGGTTAGGGTTAGGGTTAGGGTTAGGGTTAGGGTTAGGGTTAGGGTTAGGGTTAGGGTTAGGGTTAGGGTTAGGGTTAGGGTTAGGGTTAGGGTTAGGGTTAGGGTTAGGGTTAGGGTTAGGGTTAGGGTTAGGGTTAGGGTTAGGGTTAGGGTTAGGGTTAGGGTTAGGGTTAGGGTTAGGGTTAGGGTTAGGGTTAGGGTTAGGGTTAGGGTTAGGGTTAGGGTTAGGGTTAGGGTTAGGGTTAGGGTTAGGGTTAGGGTTAGGGTTAGGGTTAGGGTTAGGGTTAGGGTTAGGGTTAGGGTTAGGGTTAGGGTTAGGGTTAGGGTTAGGGTTAGGGTTAGGGTTAGGGTTAGGGTTAGGGTTAGGGTTAGGGTTAGGGTTAGGGTTAGGGTTAGGGTTAGGGTTAGGGTTAGGGTTAGGGTTAGGGTTAGGGTTAGGGTTAGGGTTAGGGTTAGGGTTAGGGTTAGGGTTAGGGTTAGGGTTAGGGTTAGGGTTAGGGTTAGGGTTAGGGTTAGGGTTAGGGTTAGGGTTAGGGTTAGGGTTAGGGTTAGGGTTAGGGTTAGGGTTAGGGTTAGGGTTAGGGTTAGGGTTAGGGTTAGGGTTAGGGTTAGGGTTAGGGTTAGGGTTAGGGTTAGGGTTAGGGTTAGGGTTAGGGTTAGGGTTAGGGTTAGGGTTAGGGTTAGGGTTAGGGTTAGGGTTAGGGTTAGGGTTAGGGTTAGGGTTAGGGTTAGGGTTAGGGTTAGGGTTAGGGTTAGGGTTAGGGTTAGGGTTAGGGTTAGGGTTAGGGTTAGGGTTAGGGTTAGGGTTAGGGTTAGGGTTAGGGTTAGGGTTAGGGTTAGGGTTAGGGTTAGGGTTAGGGTTAGGGTTAGGGTTAGGGTTAGGGTTAGGGTTAGGGTTAGGGTTAGGGTTAGGGTTAGGGTTAGGGTTAGGGTTAGGGTTAGGGTTAGGGTTAGGGTTAGGGTTAGGGTTAGGGTTAGGGTTAGGGTTAGGGTTAGGGTTAGGGTTAGGGTTAGGGTTAGGGTTAGGGTTAGGGTTAGGGTTAGGGTTAGGGTTAGGGTTAGGGTTAGGGTTAGGGTTAGGGTTAGGGTTAGGGTTAGGGTTAGGGTTAGGGTTAGGGTTAGGGTTAGGGTTAGGGTTAGGGTTAGGGTTAGGGTTAGGGTTAGGGTTAGGGTTAGGGTTAGGGTTAGGGTTAGGGTTAGGGTTAGGGTTAGGGTTAGGGTTAGGGTTAGGGTTAGGGTTAGGGTTAGGGTTAGGGTTAGGGTTAGGGTTAGGGTTAGGGTTAGGGTTAGGGTTAGGGTTAGGGTTAGGGTTAGGGTTAGGGTTAGGGTTAGGGTTAGGGTTAGGGTTAGGGTTAGGGTTAGGGTTAGGGTTAGGGTTAGGGTTAGGGTTAGGGTTAGGGTTAGGGTTAGGGTTAGGGTTAGGGTTAGGGTTAGGGTTAGGGTTAGGGTTAGGGTTAGGGTTAGGGTTAGGGTTAGGGTTAGGGTTAGGGTTAGGGTTAGGGTTAGGGTTAGGGTTAGGGTTAGGGTTAGGGTTAGGGTTAGGGTTAGGGTTAGGGTTAGGGTTAGGGTTAGGGTTAGGGTTAGGGTTAGGGTTAGGGTTAGGGTTAGGGTTAGGGTTAGGGTTAGGGTTAGGGTTAGGGTTAGGGTTAGGGTTAGGGTTAGGGTTAGGGTTAGGGTTAGGGTTAGGGTTAGGGTTAGGGTTAGGGTTAGGGTTAGGGTTAGGGTTAGGGTTAGGGTTAGGGTTAGGGTTAGGGTTAGGGTTAGGGTTAGGGTTAGGGTTAGGGTTAGGGTTAGGGTTAGGGTTAGGGTTAGGGTTAGGGTTAGGGTTAGGGTTAGGGTTAGGGTTAGGGTTAGGGTTAGGGTTAGGGTTAGGGTTAGGGTTAGGGTTAGGGTTAGGGTTAGGGTTAGGGTTAGGGTTAGGGTTAGGGTTAGGGTTAGGGTTAGGGTTAGGGTTAGGGTTAGGGTTAGGGTTAGGGTTAGGGTTAGGGTTAGGGTTAGGGTTAGGGTTAGGGTTAGGGTTAGGGTTAGGGTTAGGGTTAGGGTTAGGGTTAGGGTTAGGGTTAGGGTTAGGGTTAGGGTTAGGGTTAGGGTTAGGGTTAGGGTTAGGGTTAGGGTTAGGGTTAGGGTTAGGGTTAGGGTTAGGGTTAGGGTTAGGGTTAGGGTTAGGGTTAGGGTTAGGGTTAGGGTTAGGGTTAGGGTTAGGGTTAGGGTTAGGGTTAGGGTTAGGGTTAGGGTTAGGGTTAGGGTTAGGGTTAGGGTTAGGGTTAGGGTTAGGGTTAGGGTTAGGGTTAGGGTTAGGGTTAGGGTTAGGGTTAGGGTTAGGGTTAGGGTTAGGGTTAGGGTTAGGGTTAGGGTTAGGGTTAGGGTTAGGGTTAGGGTTAGGGTTAGGGTTAGGGTTAGGGTTAGGGTTAGGGTTAGGGTTAGGGTTAGGGTTAGGGTTAGGGTTAGGGTTAGGGTTAGGGTTAGGGTTAGGGTTAGGGTTAGGGTTAGGGTTAGGGTTAGGGTTAGGGTTAGGGTTAGGGTTAGGGTTAGGGTTAGGGTTAGGGTTAGGGTTAGGGTTAGGGTTAGGGTTAGGGTTAGGGTTAGGGTTAGGGTTAGGGTTAGGGTTAGGGTTAGGGTTAGGGTTAGGGTTAGGGTTAGGGTTAGGGTTAGGGTTAGGGTTAGGGTTAGGGTTAGGGTTAGGGTTAGGGTTAGGGTTAGGGTTAGGGTTAGGGTTAGGGTTAGGGTTAGGGTTAGGGTTAGGGTTAGGGTTAGGGTTAGGGTTAGGGTTAGGGTTAGGGTTAGGGTTAGGGTTAGGGTTAGGGTTAGGGTTAGGGTTAGGGTTAGGGTTAGGGTTAGGGTTAGGGTTAGGGTTAGGGTTAGGGTTAGGGTTAGGGTTAGGGTTAGGGTTAGGGTTAGGGTTAGGGTTAGGGTTAGGGTTAGGGTTAGGGTTAGGGTTAGGGTTAGGGTTAGGGTTAGGGTTAGGGTTAGGGTTAGGGTTAGGGTTAGGGTTAGGGTTAGGGTTAGGGTTAGGGTTAGGGTTAGGGTTAGGGTTAGGGTTAGGGTTAGGGTTAGGGTTAGGGTTAGGGTTAGGGTTAGGGTTAGGGTTAGGGTTAGGGTTAGGGTTAGGGTTAGGGTTAGGGTTAGGGTTAGGGTTAGGGTTAGGGTTAGGGTTAGGGTTAGGGTTAGGGTTAGGGTTAGGGTTAGGGTTAGGGTTAGGGTTAGGGTTAGGGTTAGGGTTAGGGTTAGGGTTAGGGTTAGGGTTAGGGTTAGGGTTAGGGTTAGGGTTAGGGTTAGGGTTAGGGTTAGGGTTAGGGTTAGGGTTAGGGTTAGGGTTAGGGTTAGGGTTAGGGTTAGGGTTAGGGTTAGGGTTAGGGTTAGGGTTAGGGTTAGGGTTAGGGTTAGGGTTAGGGTTAGGGTTAGGGTTAGGGTTAGGGTTAGGGTTAGGGTTAGGGTTAGGGTTAGGGTTAGGGTTAGGGTTAGGGTTAGGGTTAGGGTTAGGGTTAGGGTTAGGGTTAGGGTTAGGGTTAGGGTTAGGGTTAGGGTTAGGGTTAGGGTTAGGGTTAGGGT